GTACCATCGGAGACTCTTTGATAAACTCAGTGTCGAAGGTCAATTATCTTGGTGTCACCTTTTCCTCTGATCTGTCTTGGTCTTCCCACGTTTTATCGTTATCGAAGAAGGTTTTCCGTCTGACCTATTACATAAAGAGATTGCATGCTCTTGGAATTACTCGTCATTTACTCTTACAATTTGTCAATTCTTGCATACTACCTATTATTCTTTACTGTTCTCCATTATTCTTTCCCGGGCTTTTGAGAAAAGACTTTGCTGTATTGCGAAGAATGCTGAAGGCAGTTAGCAAGGTGTGTGGTGAATCTTTCGAGGTCATAATTAATATGGTTGTGGATAGACATTTAAAATCATGCAAACTCCTGGCAGGTGTCATTTTATCAGATACTAGCCATCCCCTTCACTCTTATCTTTCTCCTTGTATATCTTCTGGTAGAACGAGACGTAACTACATTAAAATCCATGCACGCAAGGAAAAGTACAAATGTTCTATAATACCTTATCTAGCAAATATACTCTGTGACGAACAGGTTGTTAGAGTTAATCTAGCCAATAACCTGCATTATTAACATGACTTTAATTTTAAATGATGTACTGTTTTTCAGATATTTTTTTTAAACTTTTTTTTGTCTTTGTTACTGTTTTTGTTTGCATAAGTAACTTGTTGAAATACCCTGTGCTGAGAATTCTATATTGTACCAAAATATAATATTGAATAAAGCCATCAATAATAATAATAATAATAATAATAATAATAATAATAATAATAATAATTAATAGGAAACCTTAGATCTAGGTTTCGTACTACTTGACACTTGTTAGTAAGGTGTACCTATAATCTTGAAGGGACGGATGATCTCTGACGGATTTGGTCCCGTGTCAAGCAGCTTCATAGTCAAAGATGTTATCATTGAGCTATCTGGGCCGTGACTGACCTCCTATAGGAATGAGATGTATTTACTATTGGTTGATCATTGTGTGGTGATCATTGCCATGTATGTCAGGTCTTCTTTAGTGCAGATCGAATACTATCGACTAAGCTAAGTGATTCAACATTGTATGTATTATGTTGAGATATGATGGTGGTTAGAGATAGTCAACAGGATATAAGTTATATATTATATAATATACCCTTGTGGACCAGGATAATTTGACATTGGTTTTCAGGAGAACCAGACACCATCCGGACTTTCACGTAAAAACCCAAACAGCACAGCTCAACCCCGTTTAGCAGGGGAACCAGACACCGTGTAGGCTTTAACGCTACAATCTGAATAGTACAGCTCAATCCTGTGGCGCAACCATACAGGTACCAAGCACCCTGGTGGACCAAACAGGATATAAGTAGTCTCGATAATTAAGTTGTAATTTTCTAGGTTGATAAATGATTGACAAAACTGACTTTAAATCAGTACATTAAATTTATTCTGATTTTATTATCTAAGTATACATAATTACTTATGTGTGATCACATCTCCCCTAATAGTTTACCCTTAGTTGTACTCATTTAATCTATTGTACATAATGGGGCTTGTGATTGTATTGGCATCATGTTTATGTTAAACATTTCAATAGAGTTTTGTTCTCTGAGCTGAATGGTTTATTCATGGAGCTGTCATTGCTTTTGGTGGAGTTTTGTTCTCTGAGCTGGAAGGTTTGGTCGTGGAGCTTTCATCGTTCTTCTGAACGACATCATCAGCACAAACTTCAGATAGAAGTGAAGTGTTTGAATTTCTCCATATGTGTCTCAAAGCTTGTTCTGTGCACCTCGACGTTGATTGGTTCTTATTGACCTTAAATTTGTCGTTGTTTACTTCTTTGTTTTGGTTGTGTCTCCCATTGTTTTGATTTTTGTTCCTATATTTGTGCATGATTTTCCTGATTGCTTGGTAAATTGGATTGATTTTAATATGCTTGTTGATTGCTGATTGACCTAAATGCCAGGCTTCTAAAAATTCTCTGGTGTTTTTGGAGTTTCCGCTGTCTAAGATTTCCACATTTTTCCAATCGAATGAGTGTCCGCAGTTGTCCACGTGTATTGATATAAGTGAAGAGATATCATGGCGTTTGACTGCTAATTGATGTTCATGTAGGCGAAGGTGAAGGGGGCGTCCGCTTTCATTGTTCTCTTAAAGCTTTCCAATCAACTTCATCAAAACAACATCAACTAAATACATCAGTTGAAACAAGATCAAGTACAGAAACCAACATATGGATCATTTTGTCATATATAAGAGAAATATCGGAAATTACAACGAGATTGTTGAAACCTTTTTTGGAATGAATGTAGTACACAAATCAACAAAATCACTTCAATCAATCGTATACAAAGCAAAGGATGAAATGAAAAAGGAAGACAAAGCGAACATTATCTACAAAATAAATTGTGCCAATTGTGAAGAACACTACATTGAACAAAGTGGACACCCTCTTCATCTTCTACTGAATGAACATCAATTAGCAGTTATACACCATGATCTATTCTCACTTATATCAATGAAAGTGGACATTCAATTGATTGGGAAAATGTTGAGATCTTGAATAGAGACAATTCTTAAAACATCAGAGAATATTTAGAAGCTTAGCACTCAGGTCAATCAGCAATCAATAAATACATTAAAATCGATCCAATCTATCAACCAATCAGGGAAATTATGAACAAATATGGGACCAAGAATCAAATCAATGCAAGATGCAATCAAAATGAAGAAGTAAACAATGAAAGGTTAAAGGTCAGCAATAATCAATGAAGATCGAGGTTCATAGGACAAGCTGTGAGCCATATATACGAAGAAATTCGAATTTTTACTGCTGATGTTGTTCAGAAGAACAATGAAAGCCTCACGACCAATCAATCCAGCTGAGAGAACCAAATTCCATCAAAATCATCTATCTGAGCTAGAAATCTTCTACACCATCTTATGTTAAACATTCATTTCAAATTACTATATTCGTTGAAAACAAAAACTGATTAAAATTGATGATTATCAGTATAGAGCTGTAAACGTTGTTGAACTTTATGAACGATCACTGTTAGATCAGCACTAAAAATCTGAACACATAAATATTGGTAAAAAGGGGGGGCAGTATATATATATATATATACACTCGGAACCTTCGACCCAAAAGTCTTATCCACAAGGCAGTGGAGCATTGTAAGAAGATACAGTCACACGGTAGCCGATGATCAACGATTGTCCCATACTTCATTCGTTCCTTCAGAATCCTGGAATCCATGTGAGCCATTGGTTTAGAATGAAGATTTCCCAACTCACCTAGGTAAACTCTCCATGTTCACTAACCCGATTAATGCTTCAGACATTCGATTTTCATCCTCTCAATTTCGTAGGCAACACCCCAACCATGAGAAGGCAGTGAATAGGACTTAACTATTCAAATTACTACAATCTCTACAATACTTCTTCTGATATATTGAATAATGATGACTTGATAAAGACAGAAGTAAAATATATATATATATATGTCACTATTCTAAAATATGAATCCTTTTAATTAATATATATCTCAACTGTATTCAGTTGTGTACAAACACGCACACACACACGCACACACACACACACGCATATATATACTTGTGTATTAGATTAACAAGTCAGTTGAATATAGATTAAATAATCATTTACATCAAAAGGATACATTTGGCTTTATGCCAAATAATTAGTGTAATTTTTAAGCAAATAAATTTTTTTTAATTTTTTGACAAATTTTATTGATTTATTAAAAGTTTGTTGACCTTTCTCTCTTTCTTTTTCTCTCTCTTTCTCTTCTTTTTTATTTTTAAATGAGCAATGTATTCCAGTGATTTAATGTAGTTTTAATGAGTTTAACATGACAGTTATAAATATATCTTATTGTAATTTGATCGTTGAATACATGAATTCATTGAAGATAGACTATCATAGGAAAACTTGAAAGTATTAGACAATCATTTCGTCTTGGTATGAAACTTCTGAGCAATGTTTATCCATGATTCTGGTCACCGGGTTCGAATGCAAGACTTTCGGTCTTGCACACGAATACGTAAACTCTAGATTACTGATCTGGTATCCAATGGTGTTAAGGTCTAACTTCAAATAATACACGAAATTATGTCACCGTTCATTATTGTCGATAGGTTCTGGGTTCGAATCCCGAAAGTCGGGATCGTGGATACACACTGCTGAGAAGTCCAATACTAGGACGAAACGGTCATCTTATGCTTCTAGGCATTTTATGATGGTCTAGCCTTAATTGACCCATGAATTCATTTATTAAATTACTAAAATCTACTCGAAATCCCCCTTCTGATAATATGATATAACTGTTGGTAATTAAAACCGAAAAAAGAAAATATTTGTTTGACTGTAATATTAATGGTGTCTCATTTCTAAATAGGTTTCTTTTAAGTTGAATACATAATTAGTGATAGAATTAGTCATTAGCCTTACTTACTTACTTACTTACTTACTTACTTACTTACTTACTTACTTACTTACTTACTTACTTACTTACTTACTTACTTTACTTATACTTACTTACTTACTTACTTACTACTTACTTATTTACTTACTTACTTACTTACTTACTTACTTACTTACTTACTACTTACTTACTTACTTACTTACTTACTACTTACTTACTTACTTACTTACTTACTTACTACTTACTTACTTACTTACTTACTTACTTACTTACTTACTTACTTACACTTACTTACTTACTCTTACTTACTTACTTACTTACTTACTACTTACTTACTTTACTACTTACTTACTTACTTACTTACTTACTCTTACTTACTTACTTACTTACTTACTTACTTACTTACTTACTTACTTACTTACTTACTACTTACTTACTTATTACTTACTTACTTACTTACTTACTTACTTACTTACTTACTTACTTACTTACTTACTTACTTACTTACTTACTTACTTACTTACTTACTTACTTACTTACTACTTACTTACTTACTTACTTACTTACTTACTTACTTATACTTACTTACTTACTTACTTACTTACTTACTTACTTACTTACTTACTTACTTACTTACTTACTTACACCTGTTACCCCTTGTCGAGGAGCATAGACTGCCCATATAATCTTACTTAGAATTACCAATATAACTTATTTACTCTGCTTTGAACTATACTACTTAAATGACAAGTAGTTATCATTTTTGGTGAAGTAGAGTATAAATTTAAAACTTGAGCAGCTTAATCGTTTAATCATCATTCTACTTCAAAGTTTATCATTATCTCACAAAGTAAAGGATTGAGTAAATGAAACTTATCAAACGATCCAACTTGGAAATTCATTCTATTATATGCTTAATAGAGCTTCTAAATGTTTGTTTATTACAATCGTAACCAATAGTTCGAGATTCTGTGTGACATCGCTCAGAATCGATCACAATAGTGTAGGTGTGTACACTCTCTGTCTTCCCTTAAACTAAGAGATTAAAATCGCTTCAAATCTTTTTTTCCAAGAACTAATTCTTACTTCCTTTACTATGTCGTTATATGCAATCTTTCTTTTATGTATTGCCACCACTGAATTAACCACTTCTATGAATCCGGTATTCATTTTGTTGTGCTAATGGGTGGGGAATGGCAACTTGAACCGATGCATATGCGTGCTTGGTCCTATGTTATAGCTGACTGACTGAGAAGTTTTACAACATTTTGACCTAAAATTCACCAATCAAACTTTAAACTATTTATGTTAAACTGATGCCAGATTGTAGTGCCGTTTGTACGGTCAGTTATCTTCTGATTAAAGAATTTCAGTCAATTACCCAGTGTGATAATAATTATCTACTTACTGGTGACTAGGTATAAGAAGAACTGATGGTATTGAAATATATCATGGGTGAAATGGTTATCACTTAGCGGGGCATCATTGAGATGACCATGATTTATATAGCTGATTGATTTGATCCTTGTATATACAATGTGAGAATTGAAATGAATTCGATCTTGCATGTGTTCATAAATGTGTATTGCTGAATGGTTTAGAACTATGATGAAACAGCTTTCTAGTGAATCTTCATTTTCATTATACAATAATTTCAATGAAGTAAGTAGATTTTCAACAACAAAACAAAACTGAACATGAATACATCTCTATAAGCAATGATCGATACTGGTTAGCGGTGGAATTCAAGATGGGTGTTTCGTCCTATTTATGCTTCGTCAACTGGATGTACTTGTATACAATCAAACAACATTTAGTGATTGAATACATCTTATCTAAATGTGATCAACATATGATAAATGAATAATGAATACTGATTAATTTAAAATTTGTTTTAATAAACAGATGTAAAATCTGGATCAGAAAAAACCCTGAAATATGATCTATCATATGATTGATAAGAACAGGATTAATGAAAGCAAAACGATCAGTATCCTATTGAAGAATGAAGTAAGATTAAACAGGTAATATGGTTAATGTGATTGAGTTTTGTACTTGCAATCCGAAGGGAGCTGATGATCTCTGAAGGATTCACTTCTATATCATCAAGCTTCACATTCTAAGACGTTATCACTGAACTAGTTGGACCTTGATTGATCCTCTGTAACACTAAATATTTAGAACTGATTATTCGATGAATAGTGACCGGAGTCGTGTATGTCAAGCCCTTGGTACTGACTGAATTCTGTTAGACAAGTTGCAATATGGCTATTAGTCTAAATGACCTGATATTCCATGCACTATGTTGTGATGGTTGGTGACTAGAGAAAGTCAACAGAACACAGTGGACTTGGTTATGTGTTGAGGAAGGTAAGTGGTAGCTTGTACAACTCACTGGTAACGTCAAAGACTGTGATATGGGTTCAAATCTTCCAAGTAACATAATTTCCCTGACCAATATAGGTACACATTGTTGACAACTGCCAAACTGCAACATTTGGGTCTAGAGTTTTCTGTCGACTACCTCCAATCGCCTAGTACTTCATCAATATGCATGCGTTGTCTAATCACTTAGACTAGTGGCTACATTGCAACTTGACTGATTTGATTCAATCAGCATTACTAAAGGATTTGACAAATGTCACATTGACCATCACTCAGTGATCAATCAACTGAAATTAATTCGCAAATTAGATCTGATCAAATATTTGTTCTAAGCATCAATTGTATTATGATATATAATTGTCACTTGGAATCCTCAAGGCCAAAGAAAGTGAGGAAGACCTAAGAACACATTACGCCGAGAAACGGAGACGGACGTGAGAAGAACGAACAACAATTGGATAGAACTAGAAAGGAAGGTCCAGGATAGAGTGGGTTGAAGAATGCTAGTCGACCGTCTATCTGCCATTAAGATTAACAGGCGTAAATCCTAAATCCATATTAATCGTTATAATTCGATATATGGTGGGGGGTGTTTTTATATTGTCATTAAATGTTTGAATTGAATGGATCGTTAAACTATACAGAACCTGTCTGGAAAATCACTCAGCTAAATGGTATTCTTGTGTTCATCGGTGGTTAATCTTTAAGATGGATTTCATGAAGTTTACTTATGAAGTCTACCACATTGCAATTGAAAGAGTTACTCATCTCTGGCACAGGATGATAGCCACATATTGCTGTATATCTATACTGATGTGGCATAATATATGTCATGAAATTCTGACACATATCTTAATAGCTATAAGACCGAAAGGTTTTGTTTGTTCATTCGTTGGCACTTCTATAAAGTTTTAATCTGGTTGTAAACTAGTTCATAGTCTATAATCAGAGTTATTTCCAAAGGTTTAAAGTTCAATAACTCTCAATAATCTGTTTGTTATAACTTATGCCCTGTGTTCTATCAATATTATAAGGTAATGATACCGCCAATTAGAGAACAGTGATTTATCGACCGGACGAATGACGCATAAAACAAGTACGAGCAGTCTACAGTACTTATCGGTCCTTCTCCCTGCCTAACATTGCCTGTTAAGTCCAGAACACCACTATCAGCCTCCACGATACGAATCATTATATTTCAAACATACTGGGTTTATATACGAAACAAACAGACCACATCGTACCATAAAACAGGAAACAACATTTGTACAAGAATTAGCCAAATGTGGTTGTAAATATAGGAGACTGTAATGAATAGACTGGGCATAAATCAAGAATGGTAAATCGTATAATAATCATCTATGGATCAAAAGGAAGCTTACAATAAGAGGAATATAAATATGCATAGCTTAGTTACTTAACCAAATATACCTAAATATTAGTCTCCAAATGAATCTTAAAAGTTACCACTTATTATTCTCATTAGGATACAATACTGTTACTTGTATTTATCAGTGTCTTTGGTATCCTAGAAATTCATTTATTAAAATCAACCTAACTACTGATCTTATATACTACTTATAAGTTCATTAATATCAATCAACAAAAAGAAAAAAATAATCAATATTGATTACATGGTGTTGTGTAATAAAACAGGTCGCATTATAAATGATAAAAATAGTTGAGTATACTAATCAATAATTTAATGACAAACCACGCAATAATCAATAATTTTTTTCTAAAAAAATATCAGTAAAACTGTAATGGTTATTATTGGATTTGTTATGGCTGATGATCTGACTCCAATTGGATCGCGAGATGATTATGATCGGACTATACATCCTGACTACCCTCATGTATAATTATCGACTTAAATTGCGTTAGTGAATAACGGAATTAAAATAAGCGAAATACCTGAAAGGATAAGATGGTGGTTGGAGGTAGTCAACAGGTCACCCTGCACTCAGGTTTCGTGCTACTTGGCACGCGTCAATCAGATGTACCTGTAATCTTGAGGGGACTGATGCTCCCTGACAGATTTAATCCCGTGTCATTCAGCTTCACAGTCACAGAATTTACCATTGAGTTATCCGGACCATGAATGACCTCCTATAAGAATGAAATGTATTTACAATTAGTTGATCACCACCCGGTAATCGTTCAGCAAGAAAGGATTTTTCAATACGTATATTTTGTACAGTCGTTGGTTCAGACGACAGAGCGGAGAAACGAAACGAAGAGAAGAGAAGAGAGCGAAACGAAATAACGTACAATGGAGAGGGCGAGTAAACCAACTCGATTTAGTCAAGCGTGAATCGATCTTGATAATGACACAAAAATAAACTACAGACATCTGATGAATGAGATAAGAAGGGCACATACATACACTTACATAGAAACAGTCAAGACTGATAAGCAAATAACTGACAACGTCAGAATGTGACTACTTCAGAAGAATGAATAAATTGTCCTGACCAAAGCTCGAATAAGTTATATGAACTTAACATAGCAACTGACACTACGTCTGAGATACATGAAACTGAAGTAGTGTTTCCATTGAATGAATGACATAATTTTGTAGTTTTGTAAATGATAACTAAGATTCATCAAACTTAGGTAAATGGTAAGGCTTTTAGATTATTTTGACAGGTAGTTAGTTATAAACTGTATTCTGTTTGATACAGTAGTTCATCGGTATAAGTCACCACCCATTATATAAGTACAGTGAGAAAGAGAAGATCTATCAAAATGACAGTAATAGTATAGGGGTTGTGGAGATTACTAAGTTTTTTTATTGAGATCATGAACCGATTGAGGTTAGACCACCTTTTGAAACCTGGAAGCACTGGACGGCCGTTTCGTTCTATTGTGGGACTCCTCATCAGTGCGCATCCACGATCCCACTAGCGGGATTGGAAGCCAGGGCCTTCGGTCTCGCGCGCAAACGCTTAACCTACTAGACCACTGAGCCGGCATCCAATGGTGATGTTAGACACTATCCAAATCAGAATTTCACATTTAATAACATGACTTAATCTATGAGTTAATAATTCCGATGATTGATGTCAGGGTTTGATTTGGTTACTCCTCAACTTCTACCATTCTAACTACTGTCGAGATAAACGTAGCCTGAGGGGAGAGAGTGTTTAACATATATGATGATTCATTGAAACAATACAAGTGTATGAACCCTATCAACTGATTTCTCAGTTTCATATATAACAAATCTCAAAATTACTGTAGCAAAACTTTAAAGAAATCTGTTATTGGAATGATAGTAACCTACATGAAGGTATAAAACATTAATACATCAATCTCATAATCATCTATCTATTCCATGTGTTACAACTTCCAGTAGTTCAGAATGTAAACAACGGTGAATGTAAACCAAATATGTGTGATATGTGTGAATGAAAAATGAATGCTGGAATAAGATCCAAATTCCCACTCACTAATTAAGAGTAATCGGTTTATTTAATTGATATCATAAACCGATCGATTTTAGACAACTGTTGAAAACCCAGAAGCACTGGATGATCATTTCATTCTAGTATGGGACTCCTAGACAGTTAGCATTCATGATCCTACACGCGGGATTCGAACCTAGAATCCTCAGTCTCGTGTACGAATACACAAGATCTCTATTAAAACTTAACAATATAACCTTATAATGATATTTTAAAATTATCAATTTTGGAGATTTGTGGGGATTATAGTATTTTCAAATATTAATTCACGAGTCAATCCAAACTAGAATATGATTAAAAACCTGGAAGCACTAGATCACCGTTTCGTCTTAGTATGGGAACCTTCATCAGTGAGCATCCATGATCCCGTAAATGGGACAATTTGCGATTGATGACTGGATAATATGAATACAAATGTTCTTAGAAAAGATTAAGATTCAAAAATTAATGTCACTTTATAAAATGAATATAGTTTACTAAAGTTGGTAATAGTAAAATAAAACAACTTTATATAAACAGTGAGAAATCAACTCACTGATGACAATGGTTGAATTTAGACATAAACACCAATGGATGCCGGCTGAGTGGTTTAGTTGGTTAAGCGCCTGGCGCGAGACTAGTATGTCCTGGGTTCGAATCTCGCGGGGTGCAGGATCGTAGGTGCGCACTGCAGAAGAGTTCCATACTAGGACGAAACAGTCGTCCACTGCTCCCAAGTTTTCCATGGTGGTCTAAGTTCAATTGACTCATGATTAAAATCAGTGAAATTTCTAAAATCTCGACAAAACCCCTTCTGATAAATAGTATTTGCCTAATATCTATGTGATACTGATTGTGTAACTAAGCATGAACAAATTGTATATTGATAGTATATCAGGTCAAATACAATGTATAACCTGGTACATGTATACATTGTAATCTGTTAGCATAGAAATGACATTGTTGGAGTGAATTCTACAGAAGTAGAGAGAGGTCATAGAATAGATAATAGATGAAGAAGACAAAAAGTCAATGTATATAAGCTACTGCAAACAATTTCAAGTGGTATCAGTCAAAAGCTTCAACTATTGATTAGGATAATCAAATGAACCCTAACCAGATAGTATAGATCTGTTAAAATGATTTAGTTCAATTATTAAAGTTTTCATAGTCTTATATCACATCTTGATACCATGGAATTCTTGATATTTATCGAAAATCGATTAATTTTGCTAATCAGTCAGTGGTCGCATCTTTAATTTATCATCAAATCAAACGAAGATATACATGCAATATGCTTAGGGTTCGAATCCATATGTTATTTATATTACATATTGTTAACGACTATCCTGGTTCATGACAATGCTTAGAGGAGAAGATTATCTTTGTATATTGCATTCATTATTTGTGATAGGTATATGTCATGGTCACTATTCATTAACTTGATTGCTTATGAAAAGGCATTTGACAGTGTAGATAGGAGAACATTATGGAAACTTCTTCGACACTATAGAGTTTCTGAGAAGATTGTCAACATTGACCGGAACTCATACGACGGACTACAGTGCAAAGTCGTGCATGGAGGACAGCTGACAAATGTATGCCAAGTAAGGACAGGAGTCAGACAAGGCTGTCCCTTCTTTTTACTTCTGGTGGTCGACTAGATTATAAAGACCTCAACATCTAAGGGGAAGCATGGAATACAATGAAGAACTCGGAAGCAATTAAACGATCTGCACCTCACAGATGATCTAGCCCTCCTATCCCATACACAAGAAAAAATGCAGATGAAGACAACTCGTGTATCAGAAGTCTCTGCATCAATAGGCCTCAACATACACAAAGGGAAAACCAAGATCCTCAAATACAACACGGAGAACACCAACTCAATCACATTTGATGGCAAAATTCTGGAAAAGATGGAATCATTCATGTACCTGGGAATCATCATCGATGAACAAGGAGGATCAGATACAGACGTAAAGGTGAGGATTGGCAAAGCAAGGGCCGCATTCCTACAATTGAAGAACATATGGAACTTAAGACAACTTTCAACCAATATGAAAGTCATGATCTTCAATACGAACGTCAAGGCAGTTCTACTGTACGAATCTAAAACTTGGAGAACTACAACAACCACCGTCAAGAAGGTACAAGTATTTATGAATTGTTGTCTTCGCAAGATACTCAACATCCATTGGCCGGATACCATCAGTAACAGCCTACTGTGGGAGAGGACAAACCGGCTTTCAGCTGAAGAGAAAATCTGGAAATGTTGCAAGTGGATAAGATACACATTACACAAATCATCAAACTGCACCACGAGACAAGCGCTGACTTGGAATCGTGAAGGCAAGCGGAAAAGTGGAAGGCCAAAGAACACATTACGTTGGGAAATATAATCAGATATGAAAAGGATGAATAACAATTGGAAAGAGCTGGAAAGGATTGTCCAAGACAGGGTTTGATGGAGATTATTGGTGGGCGCCCAATGCTCGTTCACGAGAAGTAACAAGCGTAATTAAGTAATTTGTCATCGTTCTACCATAATTCTCTCTAAGAAGGATGTGAGGACGGTTTACGGGTGAACTCATTGAAGCTTTAAGAATTTCAGAAAGAACCAAACACATTCCATCTAATCATCTTTTAGAAGAATATTCCAGAATCTCTAAGTATAGTTTCTCTATAGAAAAAATGTGATAAACTCCTAGAATGGTGATTTCAGTTTTACTAAAACTTACAAATACCTGAGAGTTTTGTATCATATTTGACACAGTTTAGAATAACATTCCTTCTCAATCATTTTCTATTTTCTCATTTGAGACTTAGAGGGTTCTAGCATTCAACCACTCAAATTGTATACGGTATATCAAGTCTCTCAGCTCTAATTATAACAATGTGCTTGTTAATCAGTATGAGCTTTTTGAAAAAAAAGATGACAACACATTCCAATCTATTGCATAACTTACATCATCCATAACATGAATGACACGTCATGTCATATATCATGTAACAGTCAAGTTAACACTAACAAATTATTCAGTAATTAATAGGTCTTGTAAAACTATGATCTCAGACATCCCTGGTATGGTATTCCAGTCGTCAGGGCTCTACACTCATAAAATCAATTATAAAGTTCTAAATGAATTCTTAGTATAAATTTGAATTTTATGTTATTTTGAAACTGAATAATCAGTTATGAAATAATGGAGAAGATTTATAGCTTAGATGAATGATTTTGATAGAGTTTTATTCTCTGAACTGGATAGTTTTGTCATGAAGCTTTTATCGGTCATCTGAACGACATCATCAGCATAATGTTCAGGTAGTAGTCATTAATGAAGATGTAAAGTATGTGAAGATTGTTTCTTTATTCATATCTGTGATAGATAGAGTTCAAGAATATCAGTAATGAGATGTGTATGTATCACTGAGAGCTGAATGTCTATCAAAATGAAAATCAATGGATTCGAACTTTGGTGATCTAAAGGGAATGAACTCATCAATGTGACTTAAACATACTTGATATTATCTCTAGTAAGTCCACAAGTACTCACCTCTATGTAATCATGTATTAAGATGCCATATAGGTCGATTGGTTTGTTGTTCTCAATTGTTTTACATTTGATTCTTCTCCGTAATGAGTAGTATCTTTAAGATAATGATTATGATTATGTTTTAAATCTTATGAATGATTTTGTACAGAGTGAGCACTCAAACGGTAAAATACATTCTTATGAATTGTTTACCAGTATCAGTGATCAAGATTAACGCACTGAAATGTTTGAATATTCAATGAAGAAAGTTGAAAGATGATTAGGTAAACATGGATTGAATCCAGAAAATATTATTGATTGTCAATTGATCTGTTCATTAATGAGAATTATGTTGACTATGATCATTAAACATGATCAGTTCATGTTAGGGGTAACTTTTAAATGATCAAGAAATGAAGTGTAAATAGAAACAAGAAAACTATCTAGAGGTCCATGATTACCAATTATATACTTGTGTACACTTATATTTATTTGATACATTTCAGTCAATTAGACAGTCAACTAAAATGTAGGACCAGGCATATATATGCATCGATCCAAGTTGCCATACCGCATTAGCACAACAACATGAACACCAAATTCATAAAAGTAGTTAATTCAATGGTGGAAATATATAAAAGAATAATTGCACATAAGAATATAGTACAGGAAGAAAGAATTTGTTCGTAGAAAGAAAGATATAAAGCGATTTTAATCTCATAGTTTGAAGGAAGATAGAAAGTGTATACAACTACACCATTGTGATCGATTCTGAGCCATGTCACCAAGAGTCTCCAATAATTGGTCAGGATAGTCACGCGAACACCAACCAAGTAGTCTGCATCTACCAACATCGCTCAAACTAAAAGTTGGTGACTTCAAGCACTGATGCCACGTTTTGGTTTGGCCGCCCCTAACTGCTTTCCAACCATCCTTTAAACTAGTCACCATCGGGCGTCGTGTTAATCGGTGTTCAGGCATGCGTAACACGTGGCCCAACCATCTCAGTCGATGAAGACTTACGACCTCATCAATTGATTTATCATTATTCTCTAATACTCTGTGTCTAACCTCCCAATTATTAATTCGATGATTCCAGCAGATGTGAGCAACATTTCAAAGATATCTTTGGTCAAACACTAGTAGCTTACGAGTATCTACTACTCGTAAAGGGCACGGTTCGCAGCCATAAATTAGAATATTTCATCAGGTGTATACAACCACGCGGTCTAGCCATCTCACTCGATGAACATTTACAACTGAAGATACATTTCAGTAGTAAATATAATTTCGTATCAAAATTTACTCTCATCATAAGAAAATTTAGGAAATTCTTTAAGAGATTTTCTAGTAAAATAATTGATCTTCAGCAAAACATAAACATGAAACCACATGGATACAACTGAATTACACATATATTTTCAAGGATAATAATAATAATAAGAGGATAATCACTGATCATTCATTAAGATTATTTTTATAGTCTCAATATAATTAAAGTATACTACTCATAACTTTATCATAAGACTTTAAGAATTCCATCTAGAAATGTATGATAATCATGATAGAATCTTTAATGTAATTCATATTTTACAACGTGTATGCTTGTTAATAAACAAGTATAAATAGAGACAGACATTAGAGGAATGAACAACGATTGGATGGAACTAGAAAGGAAGGTTCAGAAAAGAGTGGGTTGAAGAATGCTGGTCGGCGGTCTGTACTCCACTGGTAGTAACAGGCTTAAGTAAGTAAGTAAGCGAACGAGTGAGCGAGTGAGTGATTGAGTAAGTAAGTAAGTGATATGATGGGAAGAAAAGTTAGAATTCGATTGGTTTGGTCATTAATATATGTATAATAATGATAATAACAATGATAAGGAACTCCGCCTGGAGTCACTCCGGGGGCTACTGCCGGTCCCAATCACGAATAAAGGAGGAGGGTTGGGCATGGCGTTCGCGATCCCATTCCGTAGAAAACTAACTCGCTAAAAAAACACTAACCAGAAAAAAAATTATTCAAACCACTTGAACTCTGACCTGGGAGTTAAAAGGTCTTCATTTAGAAGAGTTATGACGCCTCATGATAAAAGCCGAATTCCTTCAGAATTCACGATGCCAATGCCCATTCTGACAACCAGAGTAACCATTTATTTAGGTACATGGAAGTAACAATGATAAGAAAAAGGAAAGAATGATTATAGACTTACCTTTAAGTTCAGAATTGATTCGTTTAATCGATTGATTCATTCCATTATTCAATGGATTAGATTCATCTTTCTGTGTATTATATTCATTAGATATAGTTTTATTGAAATGAGATATCATTGAATGAGAATTAGATGATGATGATGATGATGATGATGTTTTAGTCTTTGATAGATCCATTGTATTCAATTGAATATCATTGGGTTTAACTATAGTTAAAGGAATTTTCGGTGTTTGTAATCCAGCTGTTTTACATGAGAAACCTTCTATTTTATTATGATGATGATTATCCTTATCCATTGAAGTGTTATTATTATTATTATTATGGTTTAAGCCTAACCATGTTTCAGTTAGATTTGGTATTGTATATTCATAAAATAAATAACCTTGTTCAGTCATAGCAGTACGACATTTAATAAGACTTAATTCATTATCATATGGACATTGATTAGGTATTTCGCCGACACATGCAGATTGACAATTATGAAAACAAAATTTACCCCATGGGGCTATAGGACATTGAAAGAACATACTATAACCATTAAGTATATTATTATTATTATTATTATTGACTTCTAATTGTTTATTATTGAATGAATGAACTTCACAACGTATTATTAATGGTTGATTTAATTGTACTTGATTAGACGAGGGATTAAAACTTATAGTTAATGGTGTATCTGATTCAATATCTAATGGTTTACTATAAATGATCATGATTCCATAGATCATTAGTAATAATAATGAAAGAATCATTTCTACAATTGAATGTAATGAATTTGATCTTGAATGATACAACATGGTCTTCTTCTTCTTCTTCTTCTTCTTCTTCGTAGAAACTGGGACGCTTCAATGAGTTGTTCTTTGTTCTCTTATCATGTAAAGTATATGATGGATAAAATAAGGTATTTCATTGAATTTAATAAAGGACATAGTAACTAATTTATAATTTAGTTATTCCATTAGTAATTTGTTTCTATGTAAAACGAAAAAAAATTATTTTTTCTGTCATAAACTAAAAGAACAGACGACAATTTTGTATTTTAGATCCAGGACATACGATTTTTAAAAAAAATCATCTCTTTCTCCAGAAAAGTTATTCACATGTTGTTCACACTACAATAAATGATCATCATTAAAAAATGATAATAAGCAACAGAGTCTTTTCTTTTTTTGAAAACCCACCTCCCCCTCCTCCAAAGAAACCTTACTACACCATACTACAACATAGCACAGCACAGCACAGCACACGCATACACGCACAGACACACACACATCACTGTCATCACCAATACCAACCATTATGTGCTTTAAAAATTAACCAATTAATTTGTAGGGTGGAAAACAAAGTGATGCGTGGGCGTCCGGTACATGATTATGGTTAACAAATAATAGTAACATCAATATGTTGAATGATTTATTTGATTATCACTTTTTTTTGTTGTTAGTAAGACAGAATTTTCAATATTCATCTTAGTGAGGGATAATTTTTTGTTTGAAAATCATCAAATGGATAAGGAATACTATCAAGAAATTGAAGTATTCAATGGAAGTATATTTCAATTGAATTTGAATATGAAGTGAAAGATTTTAAGTGAGAGTATAATTTATGGATGATGTGTTGAGCGATGCCAAGATAATCTTGAAATTGTCCACCTAATAACTAGGATTAAATGAACACCGATTACCACGATGCGCAATGATGATTAGTGTAGGGGATAGTTAGAAGAAAGTTAGGGACAGCCAAACCAACACGTGGCATCAGTGCTTGAAGTCACCAACTCTTAGTTTGAGTCATGTTGGTAGATGCAGAGTACTTGATTGGGATCTGCGTGACTATCGTAACCAATGATTGGCGATTCTGTGTGACGGCTCAGAATCAATCACAATGGTGTAGTTGTATACACTTTCTATCTTCCTTTAAACTCTGAGATTAAAATCGCTTTATATCTTTCTTTCTACGGACTAATTCTTTCTTCCTGTACTATATCCTTATACACAATGTTCCTTTTATGTATTACTACCATTTTGTTGTTTTAATGCGGTATGGCAACTTAGATCAATGTATATATACTTGGTCCTACATTTTAGTTGATTGACTGACTGGCTGAGCTATAATGCTGAAACCCTATTTAAGCAAATGGTTGATTGAATTTCGCGCTAGATGAGTGGCGAGACTATAATTTATAGAAGGACCAATCACATTCGGGATAATAGATTTCGGATTTTGGATCGAAATTCATTCATCCATTTGGGTAAAAAGCGTTTTGTCATTTTAGTTGATGTCAGTAAGTGATGAAAAACCGTAAACCTAATTCCTAACTCTTAACCATCACCTATAAATCATAATCCTTATTCTTCATGCAGGTTTATAACTTTCATATTTGGTCGCAGCAAGTAGAGTGGACATTCTTAAGGTCATTTTGGCGTCCCTCGAAGGTCGTCCATAAATTATAGTCTCACCTCTTTGTGATTTTTGTTTTTGCAGTGAACGAACACTCACGTGGGGGCAATCAATTTATTTTTAGTACACACAGAAACTCTTGAAAAAAATATGAGAGTCAGTCAGTTACAACATAAGACCTGATACATATATGCATTGGTCCAAGTTTGCCATACCTCATTACCACAACAAGATGAACACTGAATTTATAGAAGTAGTTACTTCAAAGTTTAGTCTTGAATGCTGTTGGAGATATGAGGTCGGTTAGCACTTTCTAGTTCCCCGCAACTTGGACGGGTTCTTCTAGAGGTACCTGAAAAGGAAATTGTATTAGAGGTGGTTTTAGTGATTTGAGAGAGTGACCGCAGTGCCCAGAGGACAATTGCTTAAGGTCGGTTACACATGACCTTTTTTGAGATAACTTAGTACTTGTTGATGCCATATCGCCAGATACGGAATTCAGTGGGATAAGGCAAGGTGTGCATTTTTGAAAGGTCGACCTTTTCTAACCCTACCCTTTCTTGTGGGAAGGCAGCATCGCTGTTATACTGGTTGTCTGAAAGAAACATCTTACTACCGTCACATCACTGTACAGTTAGCAGTACGACTTCGCCTTGGATTTGCTGCTTTTAGTCCTACTGTTCTTCAACCAACCTATCTGACATGGTAGGACTTTGAGGAACGATTGTTCCAGCCAGTACAGCACGATTGATTCATTACAGTAGGTGAGATAGGCCAGCACGTCAAAGTAGCAGTAACGGTCGGTGATAAAATTTGAGAACCATAAATTGAATACTTTCGGTGAGAAATTCCATTATTTGTCCTTCACATTCTATATGATTCTTCAAAATCATAATTCTTATCTATTTCCATTTCTGTTTTCTTCAAGTCGATCTTCAAAGCCTACTGTTACCATGCATTTCTCTATTGATTGGCGTCACATACTACTTATGTCGACAGATATAAGTAGCATACACCACATTTTTATCACTGAACTGACAAACAAGTTTTACCTACATTACTTTGATGTTTATGTTTTCTGTAAGATCCGAACTTCATTATTTCTTAATTTATAAGGTAGATTGATATCTATTAGATAATTGAGTTTATGTTGAATAGCTCTTATTCAAGTATTTTCAATCTGAAGGATCTTTGATTCACAACTGATCTCAATATGAACTTGAAGGTAAGCAAATATACTTCAGGATTGATACGTTGATTCTAAACTACAAGTAAGCAATTGCTATCACAATATAATTTAGTGAAATTGAATTCACATTCACTTGATATTGTATACCTGAATCTTCCCATTCATTTTTAAGACTGCAGATTGATCAGTCTCTTATTGGCATATGTGTAGCCTGTGCAGATTGCCTAGATATTACTTTCATTTACAAGCATTCACTCTGGGATGCAGGTACACCAAGCTGACGAATCCCAAATAGGAAGAAACACGTAGCCTGGATTTCACTGCCAGCCACTATTCATTTTTGCTTAAAATGCTTGTGACTTAAGGCAATATCAAGGCGATCTGCACAGGTTGCATATATGCCAATAATAAGAGATTGATCCATTATAGTCCTAAACAACAATGGGAAGATAAAATTAAACAACAATACCAAGTGATTTCATGCAATTGGTTCCCTTTATGAATTTAAATAGAACAAGAACAAACATTTCGAGGTTTCTCGTCAGGTGCTTACAAACCAAAATTATGATAGAATTTTTACATGGAGATAGAGTGAAACCAAATGACATAGATGAGTGTAAATAACTGGGTTAAAATAATAACTATATATATATATATATGCTATAAACAGGTCAGAGGTCAAAAGAGGGGGGTTAATCCAGGGTGGGTGGTGTAATAATTTAGTGAAGTTCATAAATTGTGTGATAATTGTAGAGATTAATGGAATTAAAAATAATGATAAGGTAGATTACGTAATAATAATTAAATAGGGTTTGGAAAGTTAAGATGATTTAAGAGGATCAAGTGGTGGAAATGTGTGAATAAAATTTTTTAGTTTAAGAATTAGGTAATACGGGGGGGGGAATATAAATTATCTTAGAATAAGTAAATGAATAAAATAACCAAAACACAAAACAAACAAACAGAAACAAAAGTGATTACCAGGATAGTGATAAGTCTCTTTTTGGATGCATAAATCCGGTTTCAGTTTCTTAATTGCAATGGCTTTAACAAACTTATCACTAACCTGGTAATCTTTTTATTTCTGTTTGTTTGTTTTGTGTTTTGATTATTTTATTCATTTACTTATTGTAAGATTTAAAACAATTAGTCCCTTTCACAGATTGAACTCATGAGTCAGTTGAAGCTACACCACCATTGAAAACCTGGAAGCACTGGACGGCCGTTTCGTCCTAGTATGAGACTCCTCAGCAGTGCGCATCCACGACCCCGCACCACCCGTGGCTCGAACCTAGGACCTACTGGCTTCGCGCGCGAGCACTTAACCATTAGACCACTGAGCCGGCATCCAACGGTGTTAATGTCTTACTTCAACCAATCCACGAATTTGCGCTACCGTACACCATTGTCTTCAGTGAGTTCCTATCTCACAACAGACCTGGTTGAACTCCACTGGCAACGACTTCTCACTAGAACTCCAGAAGTGTCTCCTGAAGTCCCTTTGATAAATTTCGATAATGCAATGAGAAGACGTAGTTTATCAGAATTATGTGATGATAGATTTGGGCAATACATTTCGAACAATCTGATCACACATCATCTACTTGTTAAGAACATTTTTATATGAAAACTTAAAAGGTCAACTAGACATGTTAAGGGTAAGTCATAACACAGGAAAAATATTAAAGTACACAAAAACAAATGTGATTATCACTCTGGATAGTAAATCAGTACTACCAGGGTAGGTTAAGTGTAAGTACAAATTGTTTTTGAACACATAAAGGGGGTTTCAATTTTCGTATAGTCAAGGCTTCAATAAACCTTAGTATACGTCCTTGAAGGCTTTTGTACAACACAATAAATGCTGATTTGATATCAACTTTATGATCCGTCTCAATCAAATGTTTCGCAATGGATGATGATGTCTGTCTATCCTCTGAATGGTAGCCCAATATAAACTCGCTTTTTAGGTGCCAGAAGCGTCATAGGTCTAGTCATATTGCAACCCTTCCAGCGGTTTATGAACTTCAAAGGGTAACCATTATTGATTAACGCATCAGTCAAGAGCTTCACCTCTACTTCAATAGTATCACTAGTACAAATACGATTGATTCTATTGAATAAGCTCTTTATTAAACCGCGTTTATAATGAATAGGGCAGTGACTATGAAAATTAAGATATTGTCCTGTCCATGTTGGTTTTCTATA